CTGGGAAACTGGGAGCTCTGTTCCAACTGGCTTCTCCGTCTCATCCCAGGACCTGAGTGAGTCCATGAGTATGGTGGAGCTGCAGGAGGAGTTGGGCCTGCAGGCTGTCGATAGCCAGCGGGAGGTTTTCCTCTTGGCAGCCAGCATCGCCCCTGCGGGACCCGGCTTTGAAGACCCCGGCACTGTGCATATCTGGAGACTGCTCTTGGAGCTTCTCTCCTAGGCCGCCCCCGCCGCCTCACTCGCCAGCCAACCCTGGAGACCCCAGTCCGGCCGCTCCTGCTTCCCGCTGCCAGCATGGGCCCGAGGCAGGAGCCACGTGGCAGCACATCCCTTCTCTCCGCCTGTCCTCCAGAGCGGGGCCTGGGCAAGGCCAGGAACCACACAGAAGCCTTCCTGGTGCGGTGGCCATGAGGCCGAAGTGGGGAGTCAGGTGAGGCTCACTCCAGGCTGGAAGTGGATCCAACTTCTACCATGGAAGGCACCCTCCTTCTCTGGTGTGCGCAGTGAGGTGCTCAGTGGGCTCAGTTCTCCCCTCTGCCGGTCCCGGTGATTGAGAACTGGGGTCGTGTCAGAAGTACTGCGGGAACCGGTCCCTCCTGGTGACCTCCCCCCACCTCATGCAGGCCGGTTCTGGGCAGTACACAGTCAGCCTTGGTTCCAAGGCCCAAAGTGTCCTGCAGCCCCAGCTCCACCCAGCTGGCTCGAGGCCCTGGGACCATCACTTTAAAGGGGTGATTTCCATGTTTTTTTCTAATTTGGAGATCGAGTTTCCAGCCATAAAGGTAAGAAGTGCTAGGACGAACCTGGAGATCCTAGCAGGGAGTTTTCTGAAACCTCCCTGCTTCTGCAAGCCAAGGCCTGCCTGCTAGACGATGGCATCAAGCGGTATTCACCCCTCGCCAGAAAAACGAAAGGCTTTTCTCCCCCATACGTGGAGACAGAAGCTGCTGCTCTTGCATTAACTGTGCCAATGCCCATGTTTACAGAAGTCGGGAAGGAGCCTATGTCCCTGGGGAGAAGACTGTCAACTGGAGCTGGGTGTTGGCCTCAGAACTGCGTTTTATTTATTTATTTATTTATACAAGGAACAGACCAAAGTTTCAGGTTCTGTGTCTAGGTGCTGTTATCAAAACCCCAGATGACTGTCCTGGAAAATCTGTGTCTTTGACGAAAATAGCTGGGATTGTGAGACGTGTGATAACCTGCACATGTCAGTGGAGACAAAGCTCTAGCTCTCCCCCATCATTTACAGCTATAATCAGTATCCTACTTTACGTTGATCCACATGAAACTTAAACTCCACCACTTGGCCCAGTACGTCAAAAGGACACAACCCCCTTCCATGTAGATGGTGAGTCTAGGAGAGGAAATTTCAATCATGTAAATCCAGGTAAAAAGAAATGGGAATTAGCAGATCAGTCAACAGGGTACCTGAGGCTTTGGTTACCGTAGCCTTTCTGGACCTGCTGATTCCCCAACTAAAAGTTGGACAGAATTTCTCTTCTCTCCAGTGCACACTCCATGATCCTGTTTCTGGTGATCAGCTAGTTTATCTATATATTGACACTTCTCTTTAGTGCGGGCAAAGGAAGGAGCCTTTTGTCGGCCAGGGGCCATTGAGTAATCAATAGCCACAGAGGGACTTTTTTTGAGGAGATATCCAACTCAGTTTGCTTTTTAATTGAAAATAGAGATGATGTGCCTTCATTTCACTTGACATTGACTCAGTGTGCCTCAGTTCCATGCTGTGGCTTACGTGAGAAGAGGCACAGGGAGGGAAGGTGGGTGGTACGCTCCAGAAGTCCAGAAGTGTGACTGTAGTTAGTGGCCTGCTGTGCTCTTGGGCTGTGGGTGTATCAACAGAATCACTGTTCTTTGAAATTCTAATTAACTTCCTGCCGAAGAAAGATTTGTCTGCTTTTATTTTAAATATTTAAGGAATGACTTGGCTTTTAGAGTAGCCTTTGAAATTTTGCAGACAGCTTTTCATTTTGACATTGGAAGATTGTGAAACTTTACTTCTTTGTTCTGTAAACCCCACCTTGTTCTCCAGTGCTTGACATTTACCTCTGGAACCAGCATTGTTGTAGGGCACCCTTTTCTAATTAAGATCTGCCTTTGGTCTAATGAGTATCATTATGTAATACAATTTTCAAAGTCCCCAGTGAGGGGAGTGAACTTGAATAGTTTTATAATAACTATACCTATTTGACCAACTTCTGAAGACCACTCCCAGAACTGACAGGTCCCAGTGGTACACCAGAAGACGCACACTACTAGGGGGCGGTGCTGAAGGTCCAGAGTACCACCCCTCTGATGCTTGTGCAGAATACAGATCATCTCTTGACCTGTGGGTGTGCCTCATCACATCTGTGGCTGACCACTGTGCTCTACTGGGACTGCTGGCCTGTCCTCCAGGCAGAGCGCCAAACAGCGCTCATCCGCTCTAGTTTCTGCCAGGACTAGACTGGGCAAAGTAGAGCAACAGGCCTCTCTTGTGAACAGTCGTATGCCTGGCCTGTGGCGCTCTTACCCAGTTGCTCCTGAGCATGACTTTCTGATTCACCAGCCCAGATCACCTGCTCCTGGGAACCAGCCATTATCTGGAGTTCATCTCAAAGTGAGTTTTCTGAGCTAGCCTGGGTAACACTGCCCCCACAAGACTGCCCCAACACTACAGCTCCCAAATTAGCTGAGCATGGGATAGGGGTTAGATGTCAGCCCCTCTCCTTTTCTAATGAAGGCAACTGGAAGGCAGGCTCCTGATCTGAGAGAGCAGATGGGCACTCCACGTCGAAGGGAAGCTTCTGCTTCTGCTTGCCTGTTGAATCGATGCCTGATCATTCACCCTGGCACTGACGGCTTCTGATCTTAAGAATTACTTAATGCAGTGTGGCTTCTGATTTTCCATTCTCTCACCTGCTGTCAACCCTCTGAGGAGAGGCCAACTTGGCCCAAAGCTTGGTCATGTGGATGGTCTAAGCAAGAAGGCTCCCAGACCACCAACTTGACTGGCTGCTAATCCCAAGGAGCCTCCTCGGGTACCTTTGGTACCTCTTGCACTGACACACTGGTATCCAGCCATAAGGACGGGGGTGGGGTGGTGAAATCAGTCCATCACAGCGCTCCCAGTCCTCCACAGAGAGGTACTGATGAAAATCTGAGGACTCTTGCCTGTCTGGCTGAATGAAACACTAGATTCTGCAAAAAATGTTCCCACTCGTCTTGGGAAAACATTTTGTTCTTATGCTTCATAGCAACTGCCAGCACTTTGAACTAGCTGCTGAAGCTCACGTGTGGTTCCGGCCCACACCTCAGACCTGGAATAGTCTGAGCCGTCTTTCTGTCACATTTGTTGGCTCACACAGCTTCAGTCCTTTCTAGTAGCTATGAAAAGAACCTCCAACTTTTCCTCATTTGCTGCCTGTGTGAGGTGGGACCATGAGGGGAGAATTCCCATCAGAGATCTGGAAGTAAAGAGGCCTTGCTGTCCCAGCCCAAGCCCGACAAATCCAGACCCACAGGGTTGCCAAGGACAGACTACATAAGGGAGAGCCAGTGGCTATTTGAGGCACACAATAAATGCCCAAAACTTGGATGTGGTTTCATTTGAATTCTGATTTTGAGGAGTATATGCTGGGTGTTCACAGTTCTCTAGTGAGGGGCAGGTATGGAGGGTGATCCCAGAATACTTCCAGTGACACAATCATTTGTCAACAGCAAATCCCAGTCCTCTGGCCCTTCAGCCCACATGGGAATGGTAAGGAACTTGGGCTTTGGCCTAACTTCGTACCTTTTGGGAAGTATCCAAACCTGGCTGCCATTCCTTGGGAGTTCTAGCTGACAGGACCGGAAGTCAGAATGGAGCATTCCCCCAGCACCTGCCTTGGGCTCAGCTCTGGATTCCCAGGGAAGGTGCCTGCACTCAAGCCCAGTCTAGCAGGGGATGTCCAGCAGATTACAAGGCAGTTATGACTGGTATGTATTGCTACAGGAAGTCTGGGACGTAGGGATGACAGGAGACTTACACAGCCCAAGGATGGGAGACAGTGGCAGGAAAAGCTTCCCAAAATTGGCACCTGAATTGGGTAAAAAAAAAGGGGACAGCTGTCAAGGCCTGAATTTGGAATACTATGGAGGACGTTACGAGGCCAAATAAAAACCCTCAGGAGTGGGGTGCCTGGCTGGCTCAGTCTGTAGAGCATGAAAGAGAGTGAAAGTCCAGGCTTAGCCGTTGGACTAACTTCAAACGTCATACTGGCCTCTCAAGCCTGTTTCCTTACCTGTAAAACAATAAAGCCACATACCTCACAGGGTTTTATGTGAAATGATCTATGTAAAACTACCAAGTCCTTTTTAAGAGCAGTAAGAACCAGATGTGAGGGGCCCTTCTAGGGGAAGCATTAGGAATGAGAGGGGTTTTGTATTATAATAGCTGAAGACAAAGTATCAAAAGCAGAAAATGCCCAGTGCCCACCCCACAATGTGCCTGTGACCCTGCTATGTGAGTCATCACCCCACATCACCAAACTAGGTAGGCCTGCCCCAGAGAATGGCCAGTGTGGCACACAGTCGAGGGCTATTCAGCAGTCCAACAGTCTCAGCAGATTTGGGGGCCTCGGGTTCCTTTCAGGGCAAGCAATCTGAAGACGAGCAGTGAAGGCCAGTCACAAGGAGGCAGCAGTACAGCTACTTACCCTCTGGCCCTCGAGCCAGTCTACTCGCCTCCAGCCTGGGAGGGGGGCTAGTGTTGGTGCGACAGACCCCTCCCAAGCAGCGCAGGGTTAGCAGCAGGCTTCTGTACAAGGGTTAATGCCGGGCAGGAAACCAAGGCAGAGCAATGGAACCAGAACACGGGACAAGAGGAGGGAGGCCACACCTAAGAGGGTGTGGGAATGTGGCACATAAGGGGCAGGATGTCCTCTCTACCCCGGCTCAGTGGGTTTTCACAGGGGCAGTCCCAGGGCTTGGCTGCAAGGGGAACACACAACCACCAGAGCAGTAAAATAGTCTTGTTTTATTATGTACAGACTATATGTAAACAAACCACCCACTCTGAGAACAGTAGGTTCTGGCTTTTCTCAGGGCCCTCAGAAGCCTCTTGGAGACAGTCCCTTCCCCAGAAAGGGGAGTGTGAGTGTGTGCGCAACCTTCTGATTCCATGGGGTTTGGCCAGCCCCATCTGGCCACATGCCCCTCCTTGCCTTAAGGAGCTTCTCTGGTCCAGGAGGAGACCTCAGCCTGAGGCAGGTATAGTCAATCATTCAACCTCCATCTTATTCTTCTGCAAAGAATCAATGAAAGTTTGCCACTCCGCTGGGTAAAAACGCTTATAGACGTTGATCTTATTCCGAATCTGTTTCGGGGTATCTTGATAGTAATTCTTCTCATCCCGGGCCATAGCCTAAGAAGGGAGAAAGGCCACTTGAGAAGGGCTGGACAGAGGCAAAGGTTCAAGTCCTAGTACTGCCTGAGTTGGGCAAACCACTTCATGTCCCTGAAGTCCAGGTTCCTCACCTCAGGCAAGAGACAAGCGGATCAAACCCCAAATGGTCGAGGGTGCCTTCCCAACAGACCCAAGTGGTTCTTCCTGCCAGGCCCGAACCACTCACCTTATAGTCTTCCCCATGATTCTCCACCATGTAGCGCACATAGTCAATGAGGTCTCGAGACAGCGTGTTTCCTTTCTTTTCTGGAAGGCTAGCTTCTGCCTCCAGGTCTGAGGTGAGAGAAACCAGGACACAGAAAATGAGTTTTTGCCTTCTGCACTTTCTGAGATGCCCAGTCATCCTTTTACCCCATCCCAAACCATGGCCATCAGATGGGCTCTGCCTCTCCATCCCCAAATGCAGTGCTCTTCAGTCCCTGGAGTCCCAGGCCATGACACAATCACCTATGGGTGTGGCAACTACCTAAAAGGTAAGTCATCTCTCTTTGGGTCTCAGCTGGGTAAAGTGTAGGCACCAAACTACTAACCTCTACTTAGTACCGGGTCCTGGGGACAGAGATGAAGATACACTGCCTACCATAGGTCGGGACTCCCTTCCATCTCTCTAGAACTCCCTGACGGGGCGCCTGGGTGGCTCAGTCAGTTAAGCGGCTGCCTTTGGCTCAGGTCATGATCTTGGGTCCTGGGATCGAGCCCCATGTCCGGCTCCCTGCTCAGTGGAGAGCCTGCTTCTCCCTCTCCCTCTGCCTGTCACTCTGCCTACTTGTGCTCTCTATCTGTCGAATAAATAAATAAAATCTTTAAAAAAATAAAATAAAACTCCCTGAGAATTTCTTTTCTTGAAATGTTACAATAATAGGGCGCCTGGGTGGCTCAGTTGGTTAGGCGACTGCCTTCGGCTCAGGTCATGATCCTGGAGTCCTGGGATCGAGTCCCGCATCGGGCTCCC